TTATGACGCAGTCTGTGTTTCATCCCTTAGCTGTATACACAGACCGAACAGTGCATGCTGGTAGGAATGGGAATCATCAGTACAGCCTCCTACCCGCCATGTTTTGAATAGCCATGTTACTATTTGCAAGACGGATGAGAGAAAGAAATTATTGTAAGTGAAGGAGTTAGTGAAGTAAGAAAGGAAAAGAAGGAAAGTTAAAACGTGAAGGAGCAAAATAAGTGAAAAGGGAAAGAAAGAAGGGAAGTTAAAACAGGCCACGGAGGTTGAAGTCAGAGGAATTGGAAGGAACAGATTTCCCTACTTTTCAGGCGTAGCTATTCGGTTGATATTGACAATGGGCCATTTATCAGCGATAAAGTAATGCTTGCAATTGGTGGGATGAACTTCTCACCGCCCTGTTCACCACCAACCGAGCGACGGATTATCAGCGTTGCACGGCCTTCCCTTTCGCTGGAAAATACTCGTCAGGTATTTAATACTGTTTGTATGTCTGTCGTTGAACCAGTAATTTGGGTTGTTTTTTCTACAAAATTTTCCTTTAAGCGTCCAAAACCTTTATAATTTTTTTAAACTTGACACACACACGCTCAGGAATAATATTTCAAAGACGAAAGTATGACTATGCAAAAAAAAAAAAACAACTAATGCTTCAATATTTCGTTCATCCGTTTTGATGGTAAATTGGTATTGCGCACACCAGTGGCTGAAATTCTTTATCATCTTGCTTGAAAGCAACTCCCGGAAGGGCGGGACGGGGGAGAGAGGAGCGACGAGGGCATTGACTACCTTACTAGCAGTAGTGACCTTTGACACACGGTTCCCGGCAGGTTTTTGCCGCTTACGGTACTGTTTTTCCTGGCAAATGCTTCTAGCTAAAAGAATTGAGACTAGCCACCATGGCTGTCAGAAGACATCCCCTCAAAATTTCAGCTATCTATCTTTTCTGGTTCCCGAGTTGTCAGTTCACACGCCATAAATTTTCACGGGTCTGTACGTGGCAACCACGTAGGCAAGAGGGTCGATTTTGGGGGACAGGGACTCCTACATATGTGTATATTAAATTCCCGAAGTTTCAACCCCGTAGCTTTTGTAGGTCTTGAGATAAAAATTCGGTACAGGCGTACACACACAGACGCACACAAACACACGCACACAACCCCTTGACAGTACGCGTTTGTATTGCGTAAATGCGAAAAACGCATAAAAAATCCCAGGTAAGTCCGGAGAGGGGATCTTAAGCTGATCTCATCTATTGGTACTGCGGTTTTTTTTTTCATATTTAAGTCGCATTTATTTTAGCTGTTAGCTTGTTTTTGTTGGACACTGAAGAACATGGAGCGTTCATACTTGCGGCATTGGATTCGAGATTTGTCACCTACTCGAATTTCACAGTTTCTTGACGTACTTCAGCTGGCTGTTTCGTGCTTTGAATTCAAATCATCACTTTTTTGCTCTTCTCAGGTACTCATCATCTGCTATTGGTTTCAGTTTTTTCATAAATTTGCAAAATTTTTAACTTTTGATGTGAAATTTCTAACTTTCTGATACAGGTTTTTGTAACTTTTTGGTAACCTTCGAGCATAATATTTCTAACTTTCCAGTATGATGCACCAATGTAGCCTAGGAGTGGCAGTGGTCGAGATCGGATAATGATTCTCAACATATGTCTAGAACATCTCGAAACCACCGAGGCCTTGCCAAGTGCCTTGTCTAGAGAATCGTTAAAATAACAATTTTTTGATAAACGAATCGAGCACAGGATTGTATGCAGGCTCAAAACAAAAGATGTCAGCTGCATAAATGTAGAACCACGAATTGGCAGCTTTCCAGATAATATATTCTTTCGAAATTCCATTCCTGAACCGAATTTCGAAATCGCGCATTCCCTCTTCAGTATATTTTTCCCACATTGAATCGGTGCTTTCCCTGGAAACGAATCCATTTTCAGCTTGCTTCCTAATCAGTACTTGGGCAGAGGAATGACCGTTAACGCTTGCAAGAGAGAATTTTGTAGTTGGTAAAGAAATTTTAAAGATATAAACAATGAATATCCCTGGCTAGGAGACTGGAAGAAGATGGAGCCCTGAGATCTTCTACGTGTTAAACATATGCATTTTGTTTGGCGTTTTTAGCCCACCGTGGAGAGGAACACAATCGAATTTTGATGAAAAACTAGACGTGCCATTTAGATATCCCAAATTAGGAAGCCTCTATATACGGTGACTTGGTAACTTGTAAGTTGGGCAGATATTTCTGTTACTGAAAATCTGTTATCTAATAATTTCAAACTGAAAATTTCTGAGCTGTAATTGCAGGAAACAGTGGATGAGGCTAGCAAGCCAAAGCATGATATTTGTAATATTGATAGTTCACCGGTAAAAGATTGTGGAAGAAAGAAACCGCGTAGCACAGCTGAGTCAGATGGTGTACGTTGGCGAAGAGAAACAAAAGATTCTCAAGGAAAGGGTTCCTGGAAGAGTTATACATGCAGTAGCGGCGGGAATTCTAGCGAAGAACCAATGCGTAAGTGATTTTATGAATTTTGGCCTTTTCAGATATCAATATTTTTCTTTTTTTTTGCGATTAGCCGGAAATATTGAACTTTTGGGGACAGGCCATTTGATGGGAATTCTGTTCAGATGGTATCTCTGTATTAATCGGTAAAATACCATCGCGGTCTGAGAGTGGCAACATGAAATTATGATCTACTACACAGATTTTGGTTTTCCGAAATGGCTAAAACCTTGCCAATATGCTTCTTTCGAAAGAACTGCTAGTAATGCTTTCAACCGATGTCAAATTCAAGATGGCCAAGTTCACCTACAGGTTGACTGCCCATTTGACGATGCAACAGTAGTTAAATTAACTGGGAAAGTTTGGAAACTAGGTTGTGTGTTACAGCTGTTCCCAGCCAAATATAAGTATGATATCCATCACGTCTTGTCTTTTCCTATGTTGAAAAGACAAAGCGAAGGGTCCGACAGTATTTTTTGTTAAAAACATGGCCATTGCAGCTCGCAGTGACAGTTCTCACTATGCCAGTCGACATGATCGAGGGAAGACTGAAAAAAGAAAACCTCACCATCCTCCACACCTTCTATGGCTTACGGATTCGATACAGGCTAGCTTGGAAGAATGATTTTAATACTGGTGATAGACGTTTCGCGAACGAAGCCCTTTCTCAAAAATTTTTCTGGACCGGCAGGGAATTGAACCACCTCTCTCCACGTCCAGGCGCAGCGCGTTACCACTACGCTACTGGTGCTTCTGCTTCCAGTTCAGCCTGGCAGCACATCTACTGTGTATCTGCCTTTCAAAGCAAAATACACCTCTTTTTCTTCTTGTTGGCAGTTTTTCGCAGGTTTTCCGCGACATTTCGCGGGTAACAACTGTTCTGTTTGGAAACAGTGTTTCAGACTCAATGTCTTTCTGTTGCAGCGAGTGAGGATGATATTGCCTTAGAGGCGGCTCTCTGCACCGAAGTACCTATGGTTGTACTGGATACGCTGGAATTAATTATGCGTGTGGTATCGGTGCCTGGTTCGGATCATCTCTTCTTCGTTTTGCCGTCTATTCTGAAAGTTCTGGTTAGTTTTGCTTGTCGTTTAAACAAAGTAGTTGAAACGGAAGCACGCATAACAGTGATTATTGTAAAGTTAAAAACCCCCTTCGCAGTCACTTTGTGTAAAAGATTGAGATGTTCAGAAATAGACGAAGATAGCACGTGTCAGTGGTAAACATTGTTTGTCTCGTAACGGTTATAGAGGAGACAAGCTGATGCTGTTTTTGATTTCCAGTTATACGCTAGTACCATTTTACCATCGAAACGAATGAGGAAATTTGATTGTCTCATTGACAGAATCAAGCCTCAACCTATGGCTCGAGAGCAGTTCGCTTGTCAGAGAGAAAATTTGCTCCCACTTGAGCTACTCCACGAGTGCCTATACCCTTTTCAGTGAGTAGATATGGAGGAGGGCTTTTAAATTTGACTTAGCAGAGCTTACTGCTCAGATTGACGGGTTTTCACTGTTCTGAAAATCACTTTTAAATGCTTTTATTAGATAATCAAGAGAGCTGGGACAAAAAAAGAAAAGGCGGGGGAAGGGGGG